CCCCCCCCCCGCCAACTCTTGGGAGATCCACTGACTGAACCCACTTCTCTCTCCAGTTCCCAAAGGTTTCCCGCCAAACTGGTTTGGGGAAAGGAACGAAATCTGGGTGAGGCCTGAAAGATAGAACCAGCTGGGAGGGAAGAGAGACCGGAAAGGCGAGAGGTAGGATCCGAAGGTTGATCTCTGGATCAAAGCGAAAGGCAACACTTGCTGGATCCGGATCTCCATTGCTGCTTTTTTTCCCCCTCCTTCTCCTCTTTCGCTCAACTGGGTAAGTGACTTTCCGTCTTTCTCCTCCTCCTCCGTCTCACCGCAAATTATTCCTTCCCTAAATCTCTTTGCAAAAGAGAGGCGCGGGTGTCTAGCCTTCTTCGCCCCAAAATACTTTCCAAAGTTATTTGAAACCCGGGTTCGTTTCGTCCCCAAAGGCATAAAACTCTTTAAAAAAATAAAATTCAGAATAATTTATCAGCAGAAAACTGAATCCTGGCTGTCATTCCCAGCTCAATGCCCTCCTTCGAAACCCTTGAAATTCAAAATATAAACTCGTACATATTGTTGTTTTTCCCACTTGAGTTTCTTCCGTTTCTCGTTTTATTTTTTCCCCCCAATAAAAAAAACATCCATTTGGTAGCTTTTTTTTCTAAATTCTTGGCCCGAGAAAACTTCTTAAAAAAAATAATAATCTGTTTTTTTCCCCCCCTAATTTTGTTTTTCCTCTCCCAATTCATGAAATTAATTAATTTTAAGGCCCGCGTCGAATCTTTTCTTTAAAAAATGAAATTATTTTAAATTTTTCATAGCTAGTTCCTGACTTACGACTTACTTGCATTGCTAAGCGAGGCAGGTGTTTGGCGAGTCGCCCCCGATTTTACGACCATTTCCCCCCATGGTTGTTAAGTGAATCATCACAGTCGTTAAGCGAATCACTGCAGTCGTTAAGCGAACCCGGCTCGCTCCATTGGCTTTGCTGGTCAGTAGGTCGTAAACGGTGATCAAGGGACCCCGGGGAGGCCACAACCGTCGTATTTTGATCACACTGTGGAAGGTATGGCGGTTGTAAGTGCGAGGACAGGCCCCAGGTCTCTTTTTTCCGGCGCTTTCGTAGCTTCCAACGGCCGCTAAATGAAGAAACGCAGGTTGAGGACTGCAATTGGGAGGCAAATTTCGCACGAAGAGGCCGAAGGACGGCGGAATTCGTGCCACGGAGGTCCGGGACGACGCCCGCTTGGCCGTAAAGCGGGTCGCTCAACCGCGTGCTTCTCCCGCAGAATGCAAGATGGAGACGCCGCTGGAAGAAGCTTTGGGCGTGATGGTGGAAACCTTTTACAAATATTCAGCCAAGGAGGGAGACAGGTACAAGATCAGCAGGAAAGAGATGAAGGAGCTGCTGCTGGAGGAAATGCCCAATTTCGTCAAGGTGAGGAAGGGGCAGGAAATGGGCCTTTTTATGCATTTGTTAAGGTTTGTTTTGATGCCCGTCTCACAAAGCGTCCAAGACCAGGAAGGGTTTTATGCCGTGTCCTTCCTTCCCCCCTCCTTCCTTCCTTCCTTCCCTCCTTTCACCTCAAATCATCCTTCCTTCCCTTTCCTTCCTTCTTTTCCTCCCTCCCTCCTTCCGCCTCAAATCTTTCTTCCTTCTCTCCCTTCCTTCCTTCCTGCCTTCCCTCCCTCCTTCCACCTCAAATCATCCTTCCTTCTCTCCCTCCATTCTTCCAACGCATCTCTTCCTTCCTTCCTCCCTCCCTCCTTCCACCTCAAATCTTCCGTCCTTCCTTCCATCCCTTCCTCCTTCTGTCCCTTTCCTTCTTGCCTCCTTCCCTCCCTCCTTCCTTCCCTCCCTCCTTCCACCTCAAATCATCCTTCCTTCCTGCCTGCCTCCCTGCTTCCCTCCCTCCCTCCTTTCCTCCCTCCTTCCTTCCCTTTCCTTCCTTCTTTCCCTCCCTCCTTCCACCTGAAATCTTTCTTCCTTCTCTCCCTCCTTCCTTCCAACGTATCTCTTCCTTCCTGCCTGCCTCCTTTCCTCCCTCCCTCCTTCCACAAATCTTCTGTCCTTCCTCCCATCCCTCCCTCCTTCCGTCCCTTTCCTTCTTGCCTCCTTCCTTCCACAGCATCTCTTCCTTCCTTCCTCCTTTCCTCCCCCTTCCACCTCAAATCTTCCTTCCTTCCCCCAATCTTCCTTCCTTCCTCCCTTCTTTCCCTCTCTAATCTTCCTTCCTTCCTTCCCTCCCTTCTCCAATCTTTTTTCCTTACTTTCGTTCCTTTCTCCCTTCCTTCCCCTCTATCTTCCTTCCTTCCTGCCTGCCTCCTTCCCTCCCTCCTTCCTTCCATCACAAATGTTCCTTCCTTCCTCCTTCCATCCTCCCTTCCTTCCCCCTCTAATCTTCCTTCCTTCCCTCCCTTCCTTCACCCTCCAATCTTCTTTACTTCCTTTCTCCTTCCTTCCTCTCTTCCTTACCCTCTAATCTATCTTCCTTCCTTCCTTCCCTCTTTCATCACTGGAGGCTTTCAAGAAGAGACTGGATAACCATTTATCTGAAATGGTCTCCTGCTTGAGCAGGGGGTTGGACTAGAAGACCTCCAAGGCCCCTTCCAGCTATGTTATTCTATATTCTGAGAAATGGGCTGGACTAGAAGACCTCCGAGGTCCCTTCCGACTCTGTTCTTAAGCCATTCAGATGTTATTCATCTGTTAAGCATCCAGAGAGGCTCTGACTTTTTTGGGGGGGTGGGGGCGGAATATTCCAAGTTTGATTTCAACGTCGCTTCTCCGCTTTCCTTCTCGTAGGGGAAAATCAACGAACGCGGTTTTGAGTTCTTGATGGAGAAACTGGACGACAACGAAGACGGAGAACTGGATTTCCAGGAATACGCCGTATTTCTGGCCCTGACGGCGTCTCTGTGCCACGAATTCTTCAAGGAATGTGCGGATGAGAGCAATCGGAAGATATGAAGCGGAGGCTTTGGGGTGGGGCTGGGGGGGGGATAGGTCTTCTTGTGTGTGAAGAAGACCCTTGGGGGTCCCTCTCTGCCAGCAAATAAAGATTTTTTTTAAAAAAAAAACACACAACCTTTGTCGATCCATCTTTGGTGAACAATTTTGAAAATGAATCTCTACTGTGCTAGTTTGCAAAGTGTAGGAATGATGGATAAAAACTGATGATGGATAAAACGGATAGATAAAAGATGGATGAAAATGATGATGGATAAAAATTGATGGATAAAATGGATAGATAAAAGATGCATAAAAGTGATGATGAATAAAAATCGGTGATGGATAAAATTGATAAATAAAAGATGAGTAAAAATTGATGATGGGTAAAATTGATAGATAAAAGATGAATAAAAATTGATAGTGGATACAACCAAAGATGAATAAAAATTAATAATGGATAAAATTGATAGATAAAAGAGGGATGAAAATGATGATGGATAAAAATTGACGGATAAAATTGATAAGATAAAAGGTGATGGATAAAAATGATGGATAAACTGATAGATAAAAAATGATGGATAAAATTTGATGATGGATAAAATTGNTAAAAATGATGGATAAACTGATAGATAAAAAATGATGGATAAAATTTGATGATGGATAAAATTGATAAGATAAAAGGTGATGGATAAAAATGATGATGGATAAATTGATAGATAAAAGGTGATGGATGAAAATGATGGATAAATTGATAGATAAAAGGTGATGGATGAAAATTGATGATGGATAAAATTGATAAGATAAAACATAATGGATAAAAATTGATGATGGATAAATTGATATATAAAAGGTGATGGATGAAAATGATGGATAAATTGATAGATAAAAGGTGATGGATGAAAATTGATGATGGATAAAATTGATAAGATAAAACATGATGGATAAAAATTGATGATGGATAAAATTGATAAGATAAAAGGTGATGGATGAAAATGATGGATAAATTGATAGATAAAAGGTGATGGATAAAAATTGATGATGGATAAAATTGGGCCTTTTAAAAAAACAGCAAACAACGCCAGTATAAAATAGTATTTATGACCGTTCCTCGCACTTACAACCTTCAAAGTGTTAAAATTTTGGGCACTTAGCAAATAGCATGTATTTACGATGGTTCCAGCATCCTGGGGTCACATGACCCCATTTTACAACTTTCTGAACCAGCTTCCGACAAGCAAAATCAATGGTAACCCCGATTCCCTTAACGACTGCGTGGTTCGCTTAACGACGGCATGCACTGACGAGAGCTGTAGCATCCCAGCGTCAACCGATTCTGTCCATCCCAGCCGGTTTCGGGCAAGCAAAGTCAACAGGGTGGGTGGGGTGGGGAGGAAAGGAAGCCCGATTCATTTAACGACCATGCGATTTGCTTAACGACCGTGGCGATTCGCTTAACGGCCACAGCGATTCGTTTAGCGGCCGCGGCCAAAATGGTCGTGAAAATCATCCCTATCGGCTCCCTCCCTTAAGCACCGCTTCACTTAGCAACCAAAATCCCAATCCCGTCGTTAAATCAAGGACTCGCCCTGCAGCCAGCCTGGCGTTTTCAGGGGTGTGAGATTATCACCGGGTGTCTCCGAGGCAGGGTGTGCCCAAACCGATTACGCCGACGTGCCTTTTTGCCAAACCTGCTTTGCACACTTCGCCGGAGAAACACCGCCGGTTGAAATTCTGTTTTCGTCCCGGCTTCCCTGATGAATTCACCGCGGTGAACCTCCTTCAAGTGAGACGAAACCAGCCGGTAGGTGTATATAAATTTCTTTCTTTCTTTTAAGGGTCCCTGCCTTATTCGTTCAACCAGTCGAGCTCACACCTCCTTGTTATTTTTTTCGTTCCCTAAAATTATAGTTTTTATTTTTTATTTTAATTTTGGGCAGAGAGGAAAGCCAAAAAAAAGGGGGGAAAAGAATCCAAAATAATAACACAAACCATCAAAAAAATAAAAATCCGCTGAACGTTGCGTAGTTTTCCAGAAAACACAATCCGGCAGTCTTCACCACCAGGAAAACCAGTTGTATTTATGGATTTTAAATGCCCCCAAAACGTGGGATTCTTCCTGAGATTTGGGTCGAGTAAACCGGGAACAAAAACAGCCGAAAGAAAATAAATTTTTCAACGTCTTTTTTGGTGACGGCGGTTGGAAAGAGATGATCCAGAAGGCAAAAGGATCTTTAAAAATCCATGTTGTCGATTCAGCGACGTCCGTTTTTAAAGTCAGCTCTTAAAAGATTGGCAGTGGGGGGGAAAAAAAGCAGAATTTTGATTTTTATCGCGAAGGATTAAGAGCAAGGATTGGCAGGAATAAAAAATAAATAAATCTCACGATGAAAAGGTGAACGTTGCATTCTTTTAAAAGTGAGATTTTTTTTTCCCCTCCAGGGTTGAGTTTATTATGCTGGTTTTCTGATCTGTTCAGACTTGTTTGATTTGATTTGGCGATTCCATGGAGGAAGGAGGGTGATATAAAAATATAGTAAATAAATAAACAAACCACCAGAGGTTTTCGTGGATTTTAAACCTCCTGGCAAAGCCGAGGAACTGGCTGTCTTTATTTATTTACTGGAACAACACAACAACAAAAAATGTGTGGTTTTTTTTGCCAAGTTGTTGCAGAAAATGAAACAAATTTAAGACAACACCAGTATAAGTAATCTCAATTTATGACCATAATTGGGACGAGAATTTCTGTTGTTAAGCAGGTTGGTTAACTTATGATTAGCTATCAAGTGTGATGTATGGTTTAGGTTATAATTTTAAATTTTAAGTAAGTCTTAAGTAAGTTCTAAATAAGTTTTTAGTTGGAAGTTTTAAGTTTTAAGTAAGTTTGAAGTTTTAAATTTGAACTTTACGGTCTGCAGTTTTAAGTAAGTTTTAAATTTCAAGTTTTAAGCTTACGGTTTGCAGTTTTAAGTTTATGGTTTTAAGTAAGTTTTAAATGTTTTAAGTTTACAGTTTGCGGTTTTAAGTTTATAGTTTTAAGCAAGTTTGAAGTTTTAAATTTTAAAAAGTTTTAAGTTTATAGTTTGCAGTTTTAAGTTTATAGTTTTTAGCTTTACGTTTCCACTTTTAAGTTTTAAATTTTAAGTTTGCAGTTTAGTTTATAGTTTGTTTACAGTTTAGTGTAGTCCCCGACTTACGACAATTGGGAGCAGAATTTTGGCCGCAGGCGGATGTTAAGTGAGGCACGCCTGATTTTAAGACCTTTCCCCCCCCCCCACGTACGTTAAGCAAGTGACTGTAGCTGTTAAGTGAATCATGCAGTCATTAAACGAATCCGGCTTCCCCTATTGCCTCTGCTTGTCGGAAGCCGCCAGGGAAGGCCGCGAATGTGTCACTCCCGTCGCTGCAAACGTCATAAATACATGCCCAGCATTCGAATTTTAATCACGGGACAGGAGAAGTGTGAGAACTGGACACAAGCCACT